GCCACCCTCTGTGGCCTCTGCACCGCCTTCCACACTGGAGTCTCTCCCAAGGAGGTCTCCTAGGCTGACCACATCTTCCATCCCCCTCAGTTCCTCATGAAGCTTCTTTCATGGAACGTTCGAGGTTTGGGACAAGATCTCAAACGTTTAGCAGTGCGGGATTTGTGTGTAAACTCCCCTCCAGCTTAGCCCTCACGGAAACTAAACAACTGCCTCTACTCTGCAACTCATCCGCCAAGTCTGGGGTTGTCGCCCATGCTAGTGGCTCTCTATCGCTGTGGTCGGTGCTTCTGGAGGGATATGGGTCATCTGGAACCTAGCCGAACATGCTCTCGTTTCTTCTCACTTAGGGGTGTTTTTACTCACAATGATCCTCACTAGGATTTCAAATGGGCTCCCCTACAAATTCACCGTAGTCTACGAGCCCAACTCAGTTTGCCTCAGGCTTAAGCTTTGGGAAGAACTGGATCTAGTGACAACCTCCCCCACCCGGCGTGGTGCCTTTGGGGAGATTTCAATGTCGCAAGATGGTCTTTTGATTGTAACTGCAACCCCAATATTTCACAGGGGATGCTGGATTTCTCCGATTTCATTTCTCGAAATGGACTCCTGGACATTCCTCTCTAGGGCAACCTCTTCACGTGGTTTGATCACTCCTCTCAGCCCACCCTATCCAAACTTGATAGATTCCTAACCTCTCTGCAATGGGACGATGTTTTCCTGGGTTCCCATGCCATGGCTCTTCCTAAAACTACTTCAGATCACTGCCCGATTCTACTCCAAACCCACTCGACTCACAAGGGCTCCAAACCCTTTCGGTTTGAGCTTGCTTGGTTGGAAGAGTCATCCTTGTCCTCTCTCATCCCCCAGTCGTGGGAATCCAACTTCTGAAAGTAGCCCTCAAAGCTTGGAGCAGAACCATTCCAGGGAATTTTACCCAGATCAAAAGTTCACTTTTGATGGCCATCCGAGCCTTGGACCTGTCAGAAGAATCCCTACCCTTGTCCACCTGTAAGTCTAACCTTAGAACCCAACATAAACTTGCGTATTTCTCAACCCTTAAAAAAAAAGAGATTTTTTGGTTCTAGAGATCCAGGGTCAAATGGCTTTGCCATGGTGACCACAATCCTGGCTATTTCCACAGAATAGCAAATTGTCGGCGTTGGGAGAACTCCATCTCCACGCTAAAGGTGGGCAATTCCGACTTGGACCAACTGTCAGATATAGAAGCAACGATCCTGTCTTTCTATTGCTCCCTCTATTCGGCTCCTTCGGACCCGAGGCCAAGGATGGGGGACCTACAGTTTCTCACTGCCCTTCATCATTGGCCTCAGTGGTTGGATAGGCCCTTCTCAGAACAGGAAATTCTAGACGCCATACCGGACTTGGGAAAAGACAAAACCATCAAGCCTGGATGGCTTTCCTATAGCCCCCTTCAAGATCTTTTGGGATACCGTTAAGCTCGACTTCCTCAAGTTCTTCGATGAATTCTTCGATTGGGGCATCCTTCACAATGCGATGAATGCGACTTTCATCGCTCTGGTACCCAAAGTCGAAGGGGCTGAGGATCTCAAGGATTTTAGACCCATCAATTTGGTCAACTCAACGTATAAAATTTTATTTACAGTGCTGGCCTCTAGGTTCAAAGAGGTGCTACCCTTTGTGATCGCCTTAAATCAGAGTGCCTTCATTAAAGATAGGCAGATCCTTGTCAGGTTCCTGATGGCTCACGAGTGAATACACTCAAGACATATTGCCAAAAAACCTGCTCTTATCTTTAAGATTGATTGGGAAAACGCCTATGATCTCGTCGATTGATCGATCTTGGAGGAGACAATGGCTAGGATGGGGTTCGGGGATTGCTGGAGAAAGTGAATGAGGGGCTATGACTCCCATTCCCACTGCTCTGTGTTGATTAATGGTACACCAAGAGGTTTTTTTCCCCTCATCCAGGGGCTTAAGGCAAGGGGATCCTCTTTCCCCTTTTCGTTTTGCTCTCTCAGCCGAGGTTTTCAGACAATCTATTTCTCAATTGTACCAGTTGGACCTACTTTCTGGGTTCAAGAGCAGACCCTACTGTAACCCATTTACAGTATGCCGGTGATACCTTGGTGTTCATCAATGTGGTACCATGTGAAATTGAGTACTTGCGCTTCTTCCTTAAATATTTCGAATACGCCACTGGCTTCAAGGTTAACATGGAGAAGTCCACTATGATTGGGGTGGCTCTTTTTCTCTCGGAGACAGTCATCTCATGTTATAGATGGGGTCGATTGCCATTAGCCGATTGAAAAGGCAGGTTCTTATCCTCTGCTGGAAGAACAACCCTCATAAAGGCTACCTTGTCCAATACTCCGGTGTACCTTATGTCCCTGTTCCATATGTCGGCAGCAGTAGCCAACCTCCTAGAACAGCTTATGAGGAACTTTCTTTGGTCAGGCGAGGCTGATTCCACTAAATTTCACCTTTTATCTTGGGAGAGAGTGTGCCAACCAAAGCACTTGGGAGGACTAGGGATTAGGATCTTGAGAAAATAGAATACGACACTGCTCGGCAAATGGTGGTGGCATCTAGCGAGCCACAACAATCTGCTTTGGTCCCATCTGATACGGTGCACATACCGTATCCCACCTAATGCCTGGCTGTCGATGGGTAGACTCCCGACAAGAACTTTCGATGGTGTGGAAATCCTTTATTTCGGCCCTCTCTCTGTTCAAGCAAAAATGTTTGGTTCCACCTGAGGGGCAGTCATAGAATACGCTTATGGTCAGACCTTTGGCTGGGTCATACCCCCCTGAGGGACAGGTTCCCTTCTTTATTCTTCTTAGCTACCAACCCCTCCTCCTCCATCGCAGAAGAGTTTCCTGCTTCAAGGGATCTCAGGGTATGGAACCCCTCCTTCAGACAGTCCCTTTTGGACTCTAAATTCCTTGAGTTTATCTCGCTGCTTCCTTATTGCATGCCACTTTCTTGGCCCCATCTGGACCCGATAGAATGATCTGGACTCCCTCACCTTTGGGTGTTTTCTCGGTAGCCTCTTTTTAAAATAGGTTGTTGCAACCGCCCACCTGCCCCCTATCCCAGCCATCCGTCGTCTTCAAGGTGTGCTCCTCTATTGCCCCACTTAAGGTGCGGGCTTTTAATTGGATTGCGGGTTCCAAAAGAGCTCTCATGGTCGAACAGCTTCAATGGAGGGGTATCCCTATCCCCAACCGTTGCGTTATGTGCAGTTGTGAAGAGACTAATCCTCACCTCTTCATCCACTGCAACCTCGCTCTCAGTCTGTGGAGCAAACTCCTCGAACTTTTCGGTCTGACCTGGGTTACTCCTTCCTCTATCCCAGCTCCTCCTTCTCGCGGCGGACTCTCCATGGCCCTAGGCGGGTAGACTCTTATGCAGGGCATCCATAGCGGCCATGATTTGGGTAATCTGGAACGAAAGGAACTCGAGGATTTTTCGAGGAGTCAAAAGCGAGGTCCAGACCCTTTCCACTGAATCACCTCCTTAGTGATTTTTTGGGCCACTAACCCAAAGCCTTCGAAGGTGTTTCGGCTATGGCTTTCGTTCGTAGTTGGGAAAATGTCATCCACTTCCAACCCCATTGAGCTGCGAGAGCAGACAATTGGACTCCTCCAGCAGGCGACACTAAACTTAATTTTGACGGGTGTTCCCTCAAGAATCCCGAACCATCAGGAATAGGAGGGGTCTTCTGAAATCATCTCGAAAACATCCTGGCTTCCTACTTTATCCATATCGGCCATGCTGATTCTCAGCTGGCCCAGTCCTTGGCGCTTCTCTTGCGGCTCAAATCACTTAACTTTGGTTGGGACCTACCCTTGCTAGTAGAAGGAGACGCCAGGAATATCATTACTTGGGCTGCTGGTCGCACCCCACCTCCTTGGTACCTTGCTTCGATCTTTGATGAGATTTCTCACATCTGTAGGGTTATTCCTGTCTCATGGAGGCATACTTGGAGGGAATCAAGCACCGTCGCAGATCAGCTGGCTAGGGACGGAGCACTCGCACAAGCCACCGATCTTAGAGCATCAGGGACTGATCTTTAGATGACCAAGACATTTATTTTTGGCACCACAGGACTGGTTTTGGTCCTCTCTCTAGGACCTCCCCCTCCTCTGGTTTTTTGTATATTTTTGTAACGGGCATTGCTATAAGCCCCTCTCTGGTTCTTTTTGTACATTGTTGTAATGGGTGATTGCTATAAGCCCCAATTATTTTTTCTATAGGGTTACCTTCCTAGGGTAGCTTGACATTTTGTTGGGAGGCCCGGGCTGTGGGCTCCCCGGACTAACCTATGTATTCCTCCCATCTTCTATAGAACAGTTAACAACTTCAAAGAAAGAAAAGATTGGTTTTCATCTTGGATTGTGTTTATTTATTTTAGTAGTAAAAGGAAAGGTCCTAGGTTCTACCTAGGGTTGTAATTTTTGTTGACAACCGTGTTTTGTGGCATTTGTAAGTGGAATCATATTCATTATTAAAGAAGAAGAAATTTTTTTGATTTATAGTCTTGAATTCCACATAGCCACATTTTCCATTTATGTCACATATGTGTGCATTATTGACCTTGATAATAGAATTGGTTGCAGAAATGCAATGTTACCTTCTGTGTATGGAGGCTTTATGGTTGTATTTATTATATAAGGGAAGTCTTTCCATTCCTTAAGAGAAATGGTAACTTGGATAGGCATTTGACTCGAATTTGATTAACTATTGGAAAGTTAACCTATGCAGACTTGCTTCTAGTTATTGTCTTTTTCTTCACAAATGTGATGTTGCGATTATTTGCAGCATATATTACGATTTTATCTATTATCAAATAGGATATCTTTATTGATTCTCTAGAGCACACTATGAGTAAATCAATTATCCAATACCAATGACTTTTTTTTTTTTTAAATATCGAGAAATGTTGTAAAGTTGCTAATGGAATCATTTCATTCGCATGTTACTGATAGGATGTGGTTATTTTTCTTTTGCAGTTCTCATGGCCTCCTTTTGTTATGGGTTCCATCTTTCTTGCAATTCTCCTTGTGATGAAACACGTGGTACGAACCAAAGTGTTTTAGAATGTGTATTAATTTTGCTATATAATCAGCAATTTGAACCATTTATGAGTTTGTTGACTTTGTTGATGGATTTTGATGATTTTATAGGGAAAATCTAATAAGAACCTGCGGTTTATACGAGCTTTGGGCCCTCTCACAGCAGTTGTACTGGGTACAGCTTTTGTGAAAATATTTCATCCATCTTCTATTTCTGTGGTGAGACATGGTTAGACTTGTTGACTAAGATTGTTTATATATTTATGTACATATAACATATGTACCGTAGGACTTACTCTGATACATGTTTTGATGTAGTATCACATGTGTGGAGCAATAAGTGTGTCCCAAAAGGGAAAGCATTCATATATCCATTTTAAAGATTTTATGGCATGTTAACAGCATTATTTTTGGGAATGTTTCCGTACCAGCTTTTATGAAATTTTGTTTTAGAAGCATGTGCAATTTATGGATTGTTTAGTCATTTCTTTGTTTGTTATATGTAAAATGGCATTGGTTTTTTGTTCACGGACATAATTGCCCTCCCTCATAACACAACCTAATACTCAAAATGAAAGAATGATATTTGGCAGATAAGGCAATGCCTATATCACATAAATCAGTTTCTAGTCAACAAATTGGTGCACTTGGATGCAACTGTATCAGTGTGAAGGGGAGTGTTACTAGTTAGTCAGGGAATTCTTGTCCTATGTATATCTGTAATATTGTTTATGTTTACATTAATGGTTATGCAGAAGCATAAGCCGTTTTCTATTTTCTTTATTTACTTAAAGGGTGTTTTAATGATTATCCATTGCATATGTAACATATAAGAGGTTCTGGTAATCCATTCACTCTAATGAAGCTGTCCTTTTATGATGGAAGCATTCTTGCATATTCCCTTCTAAGCTGCCCAGATGCAGTTATAGACATAAGCATAGATATGGATATTAGATCCCACCTGGCACATTGATTAATATTTATTATTGCTTGTATACTATGTAAATACATGCATCCAACACATTAGTATACTATACTTGTACACACAAGCACACCCACCCACCGTAATTGGCAATGTTTTATTTTGTACCTAGTAGATGTCCTAAAGTTATGCCATTTTATATGGACAAGCATCCTAGGAGTAACTTGGATTAGCATCAGTGTTGATATGGTCGACTCTTGTATGTAAAGCATGTGCAAGTATCTGTGCATCACAGATTACCTTTTGCACACTGTTCTATCTTTTTGCATAATCTAAGATCCTTACCTATTGTAGTTCTTTGAGTGAAAGGCTCCATAAGGGATAATTCTTCTGCTTGAATTTCGCAAGAATTGCAAATATACAGAATTAGTATCCATGGCACTATTAGAAACAAGTTCATATTGATGCAGGAAGGAAAGGTGGGAAATTGAATCCATCTCTTTCTTGAACCTCAAACAAGTAAAAAACAACAATTATAGAGAAAAGACAGTTGTAAATGGAGTCAAGAAAAAAATTCATTCCAATAATATAAGCTTCCCAAAATTTGACATCCAACCTTTTATATGCCTATGAAACTCTAAAATTAACTTGAGATCCAAGTAATCGTTTAAAACTTTGAAATACTCCTAAACAATACTAAAATTTCAATAATACCCTTGTGAACAATAACACGTGAACAGTACCTGCGACCAGTACCTATGAATAGTAACCAGTGAATACTAAATAAAAAATATAGAAAATCCTAGAATCCCTTATAAAACTTAAAAACCCTAGAAATAGACCTAAAACTAAAGTTGAAAAATTTTACCTTGTTTGAAATTAAACAAAAGTGAACAGTAAAATAATTTTGTCCAGCGTCATTCTCCTCTTGTTGGAGAAAACTCTTCCTCGAGTTTTGAAGTGTGCTAAGATAAATTCGACATTAAAACCACTTTCTTCAACCTTCTTCTTTGTTGGCTCAAATATTATTTGTAGTAAAAAGAATTCCTCAAGAAATGGATCTGCCTCTTCTTATTTTCTTTATAGCTCTGTTTTTCCATTTCTTTGTTATATCTTTTTATTCTCCCACCCTCTGGAAAAGTATTTGGAAAAAAAAAGGAAAAAAAAAAGAGAAAATAACAAAGTAGTAAAAAAAGAAAAAAGAAGAAGAAGAAAGTAGACCAAAAGAAGAAAAAAAAAAGAAGAGAAAAGAATACAAGAAAAAAAGGATTCTTCCCTCTCGTCCCTTTATCTCCTCTTGCTTTTCTGTCTTCTTCCTTCCTTTCCCACCTCTTTACTCTTTCCTCTTCTCTCTGTCTGCCCTTTTTCGCTTGGTCTCTTTGTTCTCTCTTCTCTCTTCCATTCTCTTTAACCTCTCTTCTCTTTGTTTGCCTTTTGTTTTTTATATTTTCTCCATTTTGCTGGTGGTTTTGCTGCATCTCCCTCTTGTTTCTTTGTCTTCTTCTTTCCTTTCCCTCGTCTTTACTCTTTCCTCTTCTCTCCGTCTGCCTTTTTTGCCCGGTCTCTCTCCTCTCTTTTTTTTTTGAGAGAAAGTTAACATTGTATTGCTGGGGAGAAAGATTACATGGATGTGAGGGTCCGAAGTCACCCACAAGGGGTGACTCGGTAAAAAATGCGTTTAGTCTATCTTGTACAAAACGGGCTTATAGAAGTCGCCCAATTACCTTGATTTACATGGAGCTTTCAAAAAATTCCAGCAGGGCCGAAATATGCCAATATGCAAGGAGTTTTAGGTTTTGTGCCAATGGTCCAGAGCAAAAAAGGAGTAGAATCCGGCTTGAGCTTGTCCTTGGCTTCTAGCTCCTTCTTTCGTCAAGAGATATGCGGAGTCGTTGGACGTGGTCCATATATGCTTCCAGGAGACGTCCATAGCCCTGCAAATGTGATCAATTTCGTCAAAAATAGAGGTTAGCTTCCATGGTGGAGGAGTCGTTTTACTTGCCAAAGAGATGATATTTTGTGAGTCTCCTTCCACTATGAGGTGCAGGCCCCAAGAATGGTTGAAGTTTTTCAAGCCTAGTAAAAGGGCGAAGGCTTCTGCGTGATGGGAATCCTTGAGGCCAAGGTGTTATGAAAACGTTAACAGGGTGTTGCTTTGGTGGTCTCTGAAGACCCCCCAAGCACCTGCCGGGCCAGGACTCCGTAGGGAACAACCATCAAAGTTTAACTTGATGCTTCTTACTGGTGGTGGTTGCCAGCTATTAGGTCTTGTTTTCAATCGCGTTTGGTGATGAAGGACTTTTTTCCATTGAGTGAGGAAGAGGCTTCTTGGAATGCCTGAAAGACCTTATGGTTTAAGGCTCAGAAGGTGACCAAAGAGATTGCCTTGTGTAGGAGTGCCGGTGTGTGGAGTTTTTGGCCTTTAAAGATTCTAACATTTCTTTCCACCCAGACTGTCCAAATGGTTGCAGCTATAGTAGCCTTCTATAGGATTCTTCCGGCCTTCGGCTGACATGAATCGAAATCGTAAGATATCAAGGCCTTGACTGAGGGAGGGGTGACCCATTTGATCCCAAATAGTTGCAACACTTGGCCCCAAAGATCGTAGGTAAAGTTGTAGAGGATAAGTAGGCGGGGATTTGATTCCTCCTCGTATTGACACAAAGCACACCTATTAGGGATCGGGATCCCTCTCTTTTAGAGATGGTCCACTGTTATAGCTCTATGGGAGCAGGAGAGCCGGTTGAAAGTTTGGACTTTGGGTGGAGCAATGGTGGACCAAACTTTGGACAGTATGGAGCTGGGATTCCCCGGAGAGTGGGGGGCAGAGTTAAGCTTTTACAGAAGGAGGCTACCGATAACTTACCTGAGGGGGCTAGAGTCCAAATTATAGCATCTCTGCCTTGAGGAGGGATGACTGTTAAGTTCCTTCGGAATAATGGATTCGATTCCGAACTCTACGTCCTTCTGTCAAAATCAATTCCTCAGCAATAGAAGATTCTTTATTTAGACCAAGTGAGTAGAGGGTAGGGAACACCTCTCGCAGAGGGGAGGATCCTAACCACAAGTCTGACCAGAATCTCACTCTTGAACCTTCTCTAGGATGGAACCTTACAAATCTTTTGAACTAAACAAAGGCAGAGGAAAAAGATTTCCAAGCTCCTGAGGCATTATGCGATTGAGTCCTTTCTGGCATCTAGGCACCTTCAGGGATTCTATACTTATTCCTTAAGACCTAATCCGAAAGAGCATTAGGCTAGGTGGCTAGACGCCACCTCCATTTCCCTAGAAGTACCAGATTGTGTTTGCGAAGGACTCTAAATGCTAGACCTCCCTGATTTTTGGTTAGACAAATATTGTCCCAAGCTACAAGATGAAATTTTTTCTTTTCCGCCTGCCCCGACCATTAGAAGTTCCTCATGAGTTGGTCCAGGCGGTTAGCCACCTGAGTTGGCATATGAAAGAGAGACATGAGGTAAACCGGGGAGTTTGCTAGTGTAGCTTTAATCAGGGTTGTTCTACCTGCCATTGAGAGGAATCTGTCCTTCCACCCTGCCAGACGTTTATGTACCTTATCTAGGACTTGGGACCATTGCCTCTTCTTGGGTTTTCCAAGTCCCAAAGGGAGGCCAAGGTAGGTAGTAGGGAGATCCTCCACTTTACACTCTCTGCTCGGAATGAGTGCTTTGACTTCTGCATTTGTTATAGCAACACCCAACATTTTGGATTTGTCCATATTGACTTTGGAGCCAGTTGCTGTTTGGAAGCAATTCAAGAATAGTTTGAGAATGTCTACCTCGTTTGGAGAGGCATCTATAAACACCGACATATCATCTGCGTATTATTGCAAGTGGGACACTGTTGGGTGGTGTCTACAACTGCTGAAGCCAGAAAGGAGATCTGACTGATATATCCTGGAATTGAGCGACTGAAAACTTCCGCCGCAATGACGAACAGGAAAGGGGAGAGGGGGTCACCTTAACGAAGCCTCGAGGGCGGGAAGTAACCTTTTGGGGTTCCATTAATAAGAATAGAAAAGTGTGGATGGGAGTAGCAACCTCTCATCCACTTCCTCGATCTATACCTGAAACCCATTCTGGCCATCGACTCATTTAGAATTAACCAGTCAACATGGTCATAGACTTTTTCCCGGTCTAGTTTGAAGATAAGACCTCGTTTCTTTTCTAGATGCCTCGAGTGGATGCACTCGTGGGCCACTAAGGCCCCTTCTATAATCTGCTTGTCTTTGATGAAGGTAGTTTGTGAAGAGGAGATAATAGAAGGGAGGACATGTTGA